TAAGAGCGGGTGCACCGTTATCGCTGGCTGGGTTTCTGAGGAGGTGAGGGTGCAGAGGCTTTTTCTGTAGCAATTTAAACGTACTAAGAGGGATGCTCTTTGAAATGACCTTACAGCACCCATCGTCAAGCGAAGAGCCAGCCCTAACTGACCATGTGGGGGCATCTGAGTGCAAGAGAGGCAGCACGTGCCCAGGAGCAGGTGACAGACGGAGGGCAGCAAGAATCACTGCCACTGGAACTGGCAGGGATTCCACCCAAGGACAGAGGCCCTTGCACCTGCAGACCAGGGCAGAAGGAGGGCAGAGAGCCCACAGGAAATCAGTGGCTGCCGGGCTTCTGGGCTGGCCTTTGATGGGAAGGGGAAAGGCGGAGCAGCAGCCCCAGTGCTGGCCACAGACACACACACTCACACACGTGCATATGCAAACACATACTTGCAGCGTTTCCCCAACGTAAGTACGCACCGGCAGGAGAGGGCTTGATCAGGGGAGCTGCCCAGCTAGCCCAGTCCACCCCTGAGGGTAGGCATGGCATACCCACCTCAGTGCCTTCCTACCCCTCCACTAGGCCCTCCAAGAACGGTTACTCAGTTCATCTAACAGCCTTGCAGAGCCCTGCTAGCGGCCAAGTACCTGGAAAGGTACCTCAGTCTGAAGGGAGGGAGGGAGGAAGAGAATCAAAGAAGAGCGGTATGTCCAAAGAGGGAGAGCAGGGAAGGAAGGAGGGCGGGAGGCAGGAAGAAACGGTAAGAAGGTACGTGCCTGCAGCAGTGCCTCCATCTGGTGTGTGTGCCTGTGCGTGCAGGTGGTGTGTGCAGCTCCTGCTGGAGGTGAAGGGCCCCCAACCTCTCCCCCAGGGCAGCAGTGCTATTATGCAGTGAAAGGCTTTCTCCTGCAGCAGAAGTCCAGGGGAGGACTACAGATTCTCACTGTATCACCGCCGGGAGGCACCGTTCACCCCGTCCCCCTTCATGAAGGAGACAGCCTAAGGAGCATTGAAGCCAGGCTCATTCCAGCCTCAGCACTATGACTTACAAACTGTGTGACCCTAGGCAAGTGACTTAACCTCTCTGAGCTTCAGTTTAGTCCTTAATAAGATAGAATGATGAAAAGAATAGTGTCTACCTTGTGGGGCATTTATAATAATTAAATAAGATAATGCCCACACACAGCACCTGGCAGAGTTAGTGTTCAGTGCATCTTAGCCATTGTTTCTGAGGCCAGAGGAAAGGGGGTGGCGCTGAGATCAGGGGCCTGGCCTTGGGCTCTGGACTCCCCTCTGATTCATATTTGGGAATCTGAGGCGGCCCTTGGACCGCTCTTGGTCCCCTGTCCTGCTTCCTCTGCCCCCTGTCCTCTGCTCCACACTCCCTTCTAAGCTCCCAGCCTCCCCGCTGCTTGCCTCCCCACCCACCCTCCACGAGGCCAGCCCCCTCCCTCTGCTGCAGCCACATTTACCAGCTGACTCGCCCTGACCACAGCCCCAGAGCTCAGCCTGCCTCCTCCCCGTCTCCCCAAGCAGCCCTGCTCTGCCCACCATATGGATGGCGGTAGGGGTAGGCGGCAGGTGCCAGGGACACACACAGGCCACTGTACACTCCCAGCCACAGCATGGCCACTCAGCCCAGCACCCACAGCTTTGCACTCCACCTCCCTGATCCTGGGCACCAGGATTATTCTCCTGTGAGAGGGTCTTGGCCACTTTCATTTTCCTTTCCGTCCTATCCACAAAATATTTCCCGAGCACCTACTCTGTGCTATTCCAGGTCCTGGGGATTCACAGGGAAGAAAAGAGCTGTGGCCCTGACCTCCAGGCTAGCAGTGGGTGAAGTTAGCTACAACAGTAGTTCTCAGTGTCTGTGTGCAGCTGTATCCCCTGGAGGGCTGGTTAAAAGGTGCCCAACTGGGTCCCAGGCCCAGAGTTCTGGCTCAGCTGGTCTGGAGTGGGGCCTGATTTTGCCTTCCCAGGTGATGCTGAAGTTGCTGGTTTGGGGAACCCACTTTGAGAACCAATGGTCCCCTGCAAACTGTAATATAAGGCAGACTACAGCCTGGGCTTTGAGGCTCTGACCAGGGAGGAAAAGAGATTAGGGAAAGGGCCCACTAGGCAGAGGGAGCAACATAAACAAACACCTGGAGACTCCAGGAAGTACAGGAGTGGGGCTGGAGTGAAAGGTGCATGGAGGCGTGGCTGGGGGGTGGGGTAGGGGGAACAGAGGTTAGAGGGCCACATGGGGCCAGGTGGTGGAGGGGCTGGTGGGTGGCCACACCCCTTCCATCTGGCTTGCCAAACAGTTCCTTTGTGCACAGTGCCCCTGGCACCTGTGCCAGGCTCCCTGGGCTGCAGACCAAGCCTGTGTCTTCCCCTTTGCAGCTACCAGCACCCCTGCCTGCAGGCCTGGCTTTCTCGGGCTGCTGGGGCAGCTGTCAGTACCTCTCCCCACCCTCCCTGGCTGCGTGGCTCCCTGGAGGTGCTGGAGCCAGCCCAGAGGTGCTGGGGAGGTGTGCCAGGTGAGCCAGCATGCGTGGTGTGGGCGTGGGTGGCTGGGGAGGAGGCCCAGCTACGGCCCGGCCCTTGTCTATCCAGATCGCTGCCATCTTTTGGCATGACCGCCTGCCTGCCAGTGTGTGTGTGTGCACACCCTATCAGCACCGGGATCTAGGGCTGGGTGTGTGTTTGTTGCCGCTTGAGCCAGGGCAGTTACTATGGGTAGATAATAATAGCAATCGTAATCCTTCATAATTGGACCAGACTTTTCTGTCTACAGGTCACTTCCATGCCCGTGACCTCATCTGACTTCCACAATCACCCTGTAAAACAGGCAAGGCTAGAGTCACTATCCCCATTTTCCAGCTGAGCAAACACAAGCCCAGATGGCATGAAGTCACATCTCCAGTAAGTGGCATACTCAGGCCTAGGACCTGGGATTTCTGACTCCTGGTCCAGCGCTCCTTCTCAATCCTGAACCACTAGAATACAGATCCTGACCTGCCGCCGTCCATCGGTGGGGGCCTGGGCCCCACAGCCTAGAGCAGCAGCAGTGGTGTGGGAGTCCAGTCCAGTAACAGGAGGAGTGTGTCCCAGCTGTCCCCACCCTCCCCACCTGTGGGAAGCAGCTGACCAGTGACTGCCAGTGTATCGATGGGGAGCTGCGTCAGCAACTGTCAGGACATCGGACCCAGAGTGGGACGAGGCTCAAGGCTCGGGTCACCCAATCCGACAGAGAAAGCAAGCCAGGCCCAAGAAGGGGAGGGAGCCAGCCATGGCCACAGCTGCCACTCCAGAGCACAGGCGGCTGCAGGTATCCCCGACTCTACAGTCAAAGGGCCTGGGTCTTCATCCTACTTGAGTCCTGAGTGGGAAAAGCCTAGAGGCTCGCAGGTATCCAGGACTATCTGTTCTTTCCCAGGGGGGTCAGAAAGGTGGAGCCTGATCGGTAGCCCTGGGAGCCCTGTCCAGTGGGCTGCGGCGTGTGCTGGCTTCTTGGCCTGCTCTGCCTGACTGGGTGCACACACCCCCACGGTGCTCTACAGCGTGCGAGGCTGGGAAGGCAGGTCCCTGGGCTTCATGTGGACTCCTGGTATGTGTGTGTGTATCCTTAGTAGGACCTATCCCTAGTAGGCCATGGGAAGGGCTCAGACCTGGGAGGCAGGAGAACAGGCTCTCATCTGGACCTGCACTGTCCAGCAGGCCTCAGCTTCCTCATCTGTAAACTGGGGCCATCTGTCCTTGCCCGATTTGTCTCAAGCATTGTCCCCAAGGACCAAATGGAACCATTAATGGAAAATTGGGAAACAGAAACACACTCTGGAGAATGAGTGAACCCAGGAAGGAGCTAAGCACGAGAGGGAGGTCTCCGAGCTGATGCCCTTCAGGTAGGTGGGGTGCCTGGCTGCCTCTAGCCCCAGAGTGCTCAGGGCCCCCACAGCTGGTGCCAGGTGTCCACCTTTGTTCCAAAAGAACCAACTGCTGCCTCCACAAGCATGCTGGGCTACTCCCAGATACCACCAAGCATCACAGCTCCCAGCGCTGCTCAGGGGAAGGGGAGCGGCGGGGGCAGGAACTATGGATGGGTCACAGCAGACAGACATGCCAGGATGGCCTGTGGCCATCATAAGATCCCTGGGAGGAATGGCAGTGAGTTTACCATTCCATTGACAGAAGGCAACACACTCCAGTGCTAGGGGTTAAGGGGTAGCTTTTCCTATGGTGGGGACACAGCTCAACAGGCCAAGGCAGCCTGTGGGGATCCAGCAGGGACTCCCGTCAGTCTGATACAATCTCCTCTGACTGATTCAGGCACAACTTGGAGATCAGCAAGAGGGTGGAGAGGCCATCCCCTCAACTGGATTCTGAAAACATGGAGGTCGCCAGCTCCGAGACCAAAAGCCACAAAAGATCACCCAGTGACATTCACTTGGAGTCTGGGGTGGAGGGGGCGGGGACAGGAAATCACCGTCTCCAAAGTGCACTGACGACACACTGAGCACCCGGCCTGTGCCTCTGTCTGTGTGGGAGGGTGCCCCCCCAACCCCACCAGCGGCCTCTTGTCTACCATGCACCCCCCCCCAGACTTGTCTTTGGCCCCTTAGAAGCTACTGAACAGCTTAAGGAAACAGAGGCGGCTGAAAGAGAGAGAAAGTGATTCACCGGAAGGCTCACGGCCGGTAAGAGGAAGGTCCAAGAAGGAACCCAGGCTCTGCGACTATCTGTGAGGCCGAACCCTCACCGTGGCACAGACCTGGGCTTTAAGCCTCTATGCAAGCGCCATGGCGGTTAACAGCCTGTGTCCTGGAGCTAAATGCCTGCTCCACCATCAGAATTCAACCTCTGCAAGCCTCAGCTTCCTCATCACCCAAACAGGGACGTGAGGGTCCCACACCGTGTGAGCACTGAGTGATGTGGTCACACTCAGTGCGGGGAGCCGGCTGGCAGCGCGTGGCGACAGGGCTCTCCCTCTCCCCGGCCAGAGGGCCCCCAGCAGGGCCCGCCGCTCACCTTTCGGTCCTCCTCCCGCTCCGCAGCAGAGCTGCTGGTGTCCCCAGGGCCGCTGGAGGGCATGGCGGGCAGCTGGGCGCCGGGAGGCAGGCTGGGGCTGCGCGGGGCTGGGGGGCTGCTGGGCTTTGGGGAAGGAATTATCGTGGTCTTTGGAGGCGAGAGTTAAAACTTAAACATAGATCCCGGTGTGGAGCCCTCTGGTGAACGCTGCCTCCTGCGGCCTGTGGGTGGGGGCTTCGATGGCTCCACCTGTGGGGGAGAGAAGAGGGTCAGTGAAGCAGAGCACCCACCATCTCTGGGTCAGGCCCTCAGCCCAGGGCCACACCTGGCCTGTGAGGCCTGGGGCCTCGCTCCTTCTCCTCCCGGCCTCACCAGCGCCCCAGAGAGCAGGGAAACCCAGGCCAGCTCCCCTCAGGTCACCTCCTATCCCAGCAGCCTCTCAGCCCTTGGAGGTGGCAGCGGTCTCCCCTCTGTCGCTGTGGCCAATGGGTGCCACTTCTGGGACTTCCAGCTGCCTCCGCCTCCTCCCTTCTCTTCATTCACAGCCGCTCTCTCCTTTGAAAGCTTCCCGCATCCTCCCTCTCACCCCGATCAGCCCCTGGGAAATCCCAGCCTCCCCCAGAGGCCCCCAGCCCTGCTACATTTTCCTTCTAATCTGCCCTCACCCCCACCCCCACACCTCCCGCCACGTGGAGGAAGTGAGCGCAGTCAGGATGTAGTGAAATGTCACCTCGCTTCAGGACTGGCGCCTGGGCCCGGAGAAGTCTGGGCCCTGAGCTCAGGCTGTGGCCAGGCCTGGTTGGCTCTAGCCTGGGGGGAGAGGCCACGACCAAGGCCACAGCCACGGCCACAGGCCGCAGCCACACTGAAGCAGGAGTGAGGTGGCTCTCTCCCCCACCCCATGAACCAGCCCCATTTGGCTGCAGAGCTGGCAGGCTTGAGGGGTCCTCTGAACCCACTGCTCCAGGTGTAGGCCTCAAGCCAGTGAAATAACAAAGCCTGCAGCTCAGGCCACAGCTGGGGTGGGGTGTTGCTGCCTCGGCCCCCTCACTCAGAGGCATACAAGAGCTCCCCTGCTCCCCACCCCTGGTGGAGGCGGCCGCCAAGCCCCTGCCTCAAGTGTGCCAGGGCCCAGGAGGGGATTGGCAGGCGAGGGAGAGCGAGAGGCAGGCTGGATCTGGGCCCACCCACACCCTTCCCCTTCTAGTTCCTGGTTCTGCTTCCCCGGCTCCCCCTCCCTCCTGGGCTTCTCCTCCCATCCCCCTCCAGCCAGAGCTCCCTGGAAAACCAGGACCGGGAGAAAGCACAGGCTTGGCTCTCCCACAGGCCCAGCCCCTTTCTCAGGGGTGCATTGCTGCCTGGGAGAGGGGGCCCCAGCCCTGGCTCTGCCCCAGGGGGTAGTGAAAAGAAGGAGCTGGCGGGTCCTGTCCACTTCCTGCCCCAGTCCAGATGCCCTGGGTGGAACCCGTCCCTACCTCTGCTCTTTCCAAGCGGGGTTCTCCCGCCCCGCCGCCCCTTGGAGCTGGGAGTGATACTCTACCCTGGCTTCCCAACTCCTTCTTAGGGCCAGGATGGGAAGGGTTCCATCAGGTTAACCCAGAAGGGCTGGAAGCCCGCCTGCCCCACAGCTGAGCCCTGAGATAGCCCAGGTGCAGCGTCCATTCCCCTTGCCCCCAGGCACAGCACCTGGGCTCCAGGAAAGCTTGTTGCCTGGGTCTCCAAGAGGGCAGACAGCGGGACAGCAGTGGGGATCGCCTCCACGGGGCACATGACGCCCAGGGCCTGGCTTGTGCTCCGCCTGGGCAGCTGCTGTGCGTGCCCAGTTTACAGGTGATGCTAAGATCAACAAGGCTAGGACCTGTCAGAAGCTTGATCCCAGATCTCTTTTATGCTTAAACTCTGAGGGGTTGGGTTCACATTCCCCAACACATACCACAGAAGCAACTCTGGAGAGCCCGACAGAGAACTGGTCCAATCCGAAGCCCTCGGCCCCAGCCCTTAGCAGCCAGTGATTCCCTGTCAAGCCCCACTTCCCACTGGTTACCAGGGATATCTCCAGCCACCCCCAAACCAAAACCTTCAAAATGGCCCAGAAGCTAAGAGGGACAGAGTCTGGTTGGAAAGAACACTGAGCCTGGAGTCCGTAGAGGTGGGTTCTGCTCCTGATGGAGGCTTCCCAGGCCCTCAGTTTCCCCATAAATGAAATGGGAGAGCAGGACCCCTTCTATGAATAGCTCTGACCGGCCAAGGAGGCTGTTGCGGCCCCACAGTCACAGTGCACACATGAGAGGCTGACAAGGACAGGGCACCCCAAATGGAGTTGGGGAGACTCAGGCACAAGGAAGTGGGGTGGGAGTTGTCTCGACGCTACCCTAGGCCTAGAGACACCCACAGGGCATCTGTGCCACCATGGGTGCTTTGGGGTTCAGCTTTGGCTCCCAGTGGGGAGAGGAAGGAAGCTGGAGGGACAAACAGAAACTCACAGGGTGTTGGCCCCAAGGGCAGACATGGAAGAGGGACAGGGAAAGGGAGAGGAAGACAGACAGGTGAAGGGGGAGGGTAAGGGGAGAGGGAGAGAGAGGAAGGGGGAGAGGAAGGAAGAGAGGGTAAGGGAAAGAGGGAGAGGGAGAGAGAGGAAGGGGGAGAGGAAGGAAAAGAGGGTAAGGGAAAGAGGGAAAGGGAGAGGGGAAGGGGAAGAGGAGGGGGAGGGGAGGGGGGAGGTTCTCTTCCTCCTCCCCTTTCTCACCAAGACTCTGACATCTGAGCTGCAGGAACTGTCCTCACAGCAAACGCAGCTGACCTGGTCAATCCTAGGTCCCTTTCGTGTTGCTCATTGGACCAGCCTTGTCAGCAGCAGTCCCTCAAAATCACCCCCATCACCTAAAATCCTCCAGTACGTTGCCAGGCAGGCCATTTAGTGCACAATTCTAGGGGGCCCCAGTTGGTAATTAAGGTCCCAGACCTTGACATGGCACTGCCCACCTGCCCTTAGAGGCTTCCTTCTTCCTTCGGGCAGCCCAGCCGAGGGGAGGGGCTCTCCTGGGCCCACAGTCCCAACATAGCTGCAGGGGTCCGCCATCCACTCTTTCCACGCCCCACCCTGGTTCGCCCAGCAACAAAGCATTCCACCTGGGCCAAGGGCTGCACTGCAGCCACCACCGCCACAAAAAACCCTGTTTCCTCCTTTCAGAGTCCACAGTGACCATGAATAATGTTTGTAACAGCCACTTGAAAAAATTTCAAGGAATCCCACCATGAAAGCATCTACATATTACAGCAGATAGCACCATCTCCACTGCTTCAATTACAAAACCGTTGTGGAAAAAGGATTGAAATCTTTAAATATGTGTACCAAGGCTCACTACCTTCTAAATCCAGTGCAGTAGAAAAACGTTTTGTTTGTTTGTTTAGAGACAGGTTCTTGCTCTGGCACCTGGGCTGGAAGCAGTGGCAGTACCACAGCTCACTGCAGCCTCAAGCTTCTGGGCTCAAGTGATCCTACCACCTCGGCCTCCCAAAGTGTTGGGATTCCAGGCGTGAACCACACCACACCTGGCCAAAAGATTTTTTAAGAAGACATAAAATCAGGCCAGGTGCATTGGCTCATGCCTGTAATCCCAGCACTTTGGGAGGCCGAGGTGGGTGGATCACAAGGTCAGGAGATGGAGACCATCCCATCTAACACAGTGAAACCCCATCTCTACTAAAAATACCAAAAATTAGCGGGGCGGGGTGATGCGCACCTGTAGTCCCAGCTACTTGGGAGGCTGAGGCAGGAGAATCACTTGAACCCAGGAAGGGGAGGAGTGGCGGAGTCTCACCTCCCCACAACCTCCCCTTCCTGGGTGCAAGAGCAAATTTTTTCTCAAAAAAAAAAAAAAAAAAAGACATAAAATCACAAGGTTAGGCTGAACAAGAGAAGAAATACCACCAACAAAATTGTGGAATCTGGAAAGCAGATTTGTGACAGCCAAATTTCAGACAAGCGTGTGAATGCTGATATATCAGAGTCTTAAACAGATGCTTATAGGAAAGCACCAGGTACTTCAGGACTAGGGCTGAAGAGGATGCATGTGTGAAAAACAAGAGGCTGAGTGAGAGAAGTGAATTCCTCAATCCCTCCTCTAAAAGTCTGAAGGTTTATCCATAGTCTCTGGAGGGCACAAAATAGGGGTCCCAATTGACTCTCTTTGTACAGTCAATTGGGACAGCTGAGAACAAAGATGATACATCAAAGCCAAGGAGAGGAAGGTTGTTTTCAATGCTGATGTCCAGTCCCTCAGCCTCTTCCCCCACTGGGCTCTTAGAACACTGGCAGCCAGAGGACCCTTTCCTTCTCTGGAAAATCTAATGAGTCCAAGAGAAAAGGTCTAAGGATGCCAGTACCAACATCAGTACCCACATGGGGTCAAAATGGCTTATTCAGGTCAACCTACATAGACCTGAAAAATCAACAAGCCCACTATCATTCTCAGAGCTTCCAATCAGTTGGGTTTTTTTCGAGATGGAGTCTTGCTCTGTTGCCCAGGCTGGAGTGCAGTGGTGGGATCTCGGCCACTCTCCACCTCCTGGGTCCAAGCGATTCTCATTCCTCAGCCTCCCGAGTAGCTGGGACCACAAGTGCACGCTACCACGCCAAGCTAATTTTTGTATTTTTAGTAGAGATGAGTTTTGCATGTTGACCAGGCTGGTCTCGAATTCCTGACCTCAAGTGACCCCCCTGTCTTGACCTCCCAAAGTGCTGGGATTACAGGTGTAAGCCACCACGCCCGGCCCGAATTCTTAAAAAATTAAACAAATCTTAAACAATTTTCCAATTAGAATTATTTACTCAGCCAAATTATCATTTAAGTGTGAGAGTACAATAAAGACATTTTCTTTTTGTTTTTCTGAAATAGAGATGGGGTCTCACTATGTTGCCCAGGCTGGTCTTGAACTCCTGGCTCATGTGATCCTCCCACCTCAGCCTCCCAAAGTGCTGGGATAACGGGCATGAGCCATCCTGCCCGGCCCTAGTAAAAACATCTTCAGACATATGAGGTCTCACGCTCCTTTCCCAGGAAGGACAAGAAGATGTCCTCGAATAGGCAGAAGATCCAGCACAGGAGGTAAGGGAAGAAAGGCTCCAGGATGAAGGGGAAAAGAGGCCACACACCAGTCATCCGGCATGAGCCAGAGAGGGCCAGCCTTCCCCGCTGAGACTAGGGCATGAGTGTCGTCATCACCATGCCCTCTGCTGTTGCACTGTCTTTTTTTTTTTTGAGACGGAGTTTCACTCTTGTTGCCCAGGCTGGAGTGCAATGGCGTGATCTTGGCTCACCGCAACCTCCACCTCCCAGGTTCAAGCAATTCTCCTGCCTCAGCCTCCCCAGTAGCTGGGATTACAGGCATTTGCCCCCATGTCCGGCTAATTTTTGTATTTGTAGTAGAGACGGGGTTTCTCCATGTTGGTTAGGCTGGTCTTGAACTCCCGACTTCAGGTGATCCACCTGCCTCAGGCTCCCAAAGTGCTGGGATTACAAGTGTGAGCCACTGTGCTTGACTGAACTGCCTTTTTACCTGACAAAACTACAGGTATCACTTGTGGCCATACTCTGCTATCTGAACCCAGGAACTGAATGGAGTTTTTTCCTTTTTTTCTTCTTTGAGACAGTTTTGCTCTGTTGCCCAGGTTGGAGTGCAGTGTTGAAATCTCGGCTCATCACAACCTTCGCCTTCCGGGTTCAAGAGATACTCTTGCCTCAGCCTGGAGAGAAGCTGGGATTACAGACTCCTGCCGCCACGCCCAGCTAAGTTTTGCATTTTTAGTAGTGACAGGGTTTCACCATGTTGGCCAGGCTGGTCCCAAGCTCCTGACCTCAGGTGATCCACCTGCCTCAGCCTCCCAAAGTGCTGGGATTACAGGTGTGAGGCACTGCACCTGGCCATGAATGGATTTTGTCATGGACAGACGTGTGTCCTGGAATATGTGCTCCAATGAGAAGAGTGAGCCAAGTAAGAGGAGGACACGGAAGCCAGAAAACAGAGACTGCAACTGAAAAGCAAAGGGAATTCTAAAGATGGCTATAAAAGGAAGTCACAGAACATCAGCTACAATGTGCCTAGAAAGCAACCAGCCCAGAGTGAAAGAGGGTAG